GTGGAGTGTAAAGGGACCCCAAATTATGGTTTAACCCTTTGGTGCCGGGTATGACGTGTACGTACGTGCTATGCCCACAGTGAGTACTTGTTTGATTGTTTTTACGCATAGCTGGCAACACTTGTCCTAACTCCCCAATAAGCCAGTTACGAGCACCGCCCGTCTCGCCCGTTTACCCGTTTCTTTGATTTACAAAATATTTTACGTAATCTTATATTGCTGTTACTAATGTTAAAAAAATATATATAAATTATAATGTTTATGATAAAAATAACACCATCGATTTTCATAGCACTAGTGAAAAATACGTTTTTCCCGCCATTTAAATCACGCGCTAGCAGAGCCATCTATCAGCAGACATTTCACGAAAAACATAGAAAGTGGGCACAACATTTTCCCCATTTTTTGTTCATTTTCCCCGGCACCATTGGGTTAAAGACCGTCGATGATTCGTCAGGCTAATGTGTGGCAGCACCTCCGGGCCACACAACTTTAGTTCACCTTGCGGGTGCTTGTCGTGTACCCTTTGTATGTCAGTGCTTGTCGATGTTAGCCATTCAGTACAGTTGAGCAGTAGCCTACATACCAAAGAATTCACTACCACCCGATTTTGCATCATATGAGGCTTTGTCGAATGATTTCCCTCATCTGTCATTACCCCCCACCCCCACCCCTTGAAGGCTAAGATTTGAAGCTGCAAAAAGACTGTACCTCCAGGGCGTGTTCTATGGATGGAAAGTAGAGAATTGGCAGAACCTAGAAAAACAAGTTAGGTGCCTGCAATTTGAAATGGAGATGCGAGTGACAGCAGAACCGACCTAATGCTTCCACTGTCCATTTCACACAGGCTGATATTAATGGCTGTTATTTTCATCTCGGTCAGTCAGTGTGGAGACGAATTCAGGGGTTAGGTCTGGCAGGAAAGTACAAGGAAGATCTGGACTTGTCTTGTGCCTATGCCTTTGCTTACCCTTCTATGATTGCATGGTTATGATCGTTTCTGATGGAGCTCCAAGGTGTGATGCAATCCTACCTGATACCGGTATGGAGACCAGCAAAGAAATTGCCAGGTCAGAATCCCTGGATAGTTCCCGTACGTGCATGTACAGAGTAAGGAAAGACCTGCTGCTGTAAAAAAAAAGTCAAATCAGCTTTTAACAGGATGTACCACTTAGCTGGGAGGAAATTACAGCCAACCAGGAAGATATACCATCTTACTAGCAAGAGGTTGAAAATGCTGGCAGAAATGCGAGTTATTGGATGGTGAAGCAAGAGTTAACCATCAATGTTATGACAGAATAAAATAGTTCAGAATTTACAACTCCCTTGAAGTTTGCTCATATTAGAATATCCCCCAAAGGAACACATTTACTCTGCATTACTAGCAGTAAAAAGTTGATCAGCCGTTTCAAATAGCAATTTCACCCATAATCTGCATAATGCGCATCGATACTGAAATTGTCTCAGAAGAATCTGCTCAGAAGGAATTAGGATCGCGGGGAACTGATTTCAAATCGGGTGCAGTAGGACTTGGATCCTCGCCTGTAAGCTTGTAAGCCCATTCTGCACACCTTGCAGAAGCAAACAATGACGCATAGTTTTCCAGAACCATATACAGCCTGCCTCTCAGAACCAAGAGTCCTGTCTATTGATATGTTGTACTTTAGTCTCTTGCATATATTTCCCTGTCCCTTATGGTATTATGTACACATTGATCACTATTGAATCGCCAGGCTACCTGTTTGTCTAGAGAAAGATAGGAGAAAAAAAAAATTCAGTGCCTCATATTCGCCTGTTTACTCATGAGGCATTCGTTCAACATGTATGATTATATATCATGGAATTCGGATGTAAGTTTTGATCATTTATGATTTTATCGTTTTTGTCTTTTTTCGAAGCTACCGCCATTCTCGCCAATAGACGCTAAATACATCCAGAATGCAGGCATTCCAGTGAAAACATTTTTTTTCATTCACGTGTCGTATTTCATTCACAGCCGTATACAGTATAATTTGCAAAGAACACTGTGATGGATCCATCCAATGTCTTTGGTAAATATTTTGTATTTGAATGCAGAACGTATTTACTAGATACTACTCCTGCCCGATACGTCTGGTGTAGCAGCGATCAGCGGTACGTGTACCGGCTCTGACGATTTTGTGTAACGCATGCTGCAGCCTTAGCCATAGATGTGACTTGAATCCTTTTAGAATTCATCTGCACATGTCATGTTGTTCATTTATGGAGACTGTATTAATATACTTTATTATATACCATGTTTTATGAATGTGCCATACACAAATGCACACACAAACACACGCGCACGCACACGCACACAAATATATCCATACACATATGAAAAGGAAAACAGCCACAGTAAGAAATAAAATTAAATCGTCTCGTTTCGAAAACTTCGCGAGTTCCCCTTCAGACCAAAAATAAATAAAAATGGATTTTGGTTTATTTTTCGTCACGATTTAATTTTATTTCTTACTGTGGCTGTTTACTTCTTTACCTTTGTGTACACGTTAATGTGCTTGTGTCTGTGACACATACATAAATATTCCGGGATTTTAGTCATCCAATTATCAATATATTTATTCTCATGGCAGTGCAAGCTGAATATCACAGCGCAAGATCACCAGGGAAATACAGCCTATTCACTAGCTTTGCAGAATGAATTTCCAAAAATATGTCGCCTTCTGTCACAAGAATGCCATGGAGCTCTTCCAGCGCAAGACACCGCAGTGGGATCAGCTGTGCACAAGAAGAAGAAGAAGAAGAAGCATCAGGCCAAGAATCAGGAAAAGAAAGAGAAGGTAAACGGAAGAATAGTTCATTTTGGCGCGTTTTTTTATGGATACCTGATGGGCCATCCATGAATTTGTCAACTGTTATAATAATAATAATAATAATAATAATAATAATAACAATAATAATAATGACAATAATATTAATGATGATAATAATAATAATAATGATAATAATAATAAGATTGTTATTATAATCATTATAATTATAGTGATAATGATAATAATGATGAAAATAATAAATATAGTAATAATAATAATATTTATAATAGTAATCATGATGATGAGGAAGAGGAAAAGGATGATAATGAAAATAAAATCAACAGTGATAATGACACTGATAATTATAGTAACAAGAACTATAATAATAACAACAACAACAACAATAATAATAATAATATTAATAATAATAATAATAATAATAATATTAATAATAATAATAATAATAATAATAATAATAATGATGATAATAATAATGGTAATAATAATAATAATAATAATAATAATAATAATAATATTGATAATGATAATGTTAACGATCTTGGTAACGATAATACTATTACTTCTAATAATGATGATAATGATTATGATAATAATACTTGATAATAATAATAAAGGCAAAAGTCAATGGTCATAAAATTTGTAGTAGTATTAATGATAATGGAAATAAGAATTAACAAAGCAGCTATAACAATAATATTCGAAGCACATCCGCAATATGAAATGAATGTTTTTTTTCGTAATTCATTAACACAATTTTATTTCATTTGTGTGTTTATGGAATTTTTGTTTGTGCTTGTGTTTTACAATATTCCATTTGTGTTTTTTCTCATTCTTCCTCTTTTTTCTCTTTCTAACTTTATATTTTGACATTCTTACTTCTTAGCTTCATGACAAATTCTATGCCTCCACTATCTGTCTATATATCTATTTATCTGTGTGTGTGTATGTGTGTGCGCGCGCGCGGCTTAGATGTTTACAAATCCGATTTAATTATACATTTTATCTTCATTATTTTACGTTACGTACACCGTTCAACCCCAGTTCTATCAAAATAAGTCGATTCTCACTTCCTTGTTTACAATAAAAAAAAATATAGAATGACTAAAAACAAAGAAAAAACGAGATTCAAGATCTAAATTGAATCGAAATTTCTGTCTCAAGAAAATAAAAAGAAAAGAGTCAGACTTCCCATATCCCTACCTCCAACTCCAGTTATGAAAATGGGAAACTACATTTATTTACTTATTTTATTTTGATGTGTCCCTCTCTCCTTACCTCCTTCTCTCTCTCTCTCTCGCTCGCTCGCAGTGATTAGTTACAATATTCCTAGGTCTAATTTTTATTACAGAACTCTAGTGATGCTTTGAATTTAGGCACACTGCAAATCCAGAGTTCCTCAAGCGACGAAACAGAAACAGAGACAATGCTGGTAAGTAGGAAAAAAATGGAGGGTGTAATCAATAGTAGTAAAATGTGTGAATAGGTATAAGGGCATAATTTTGAGTATAGATAAACCTGTGAGGCTTATGTATCAGTTAATTCATTACCTATTTTCTTTAGGCGACCGCAAGTCCGCCAGTCCAGGCCATGGAATCGCGGCAAGTGCCAGTTCGTGAAAATGTCTACATCAGAACGTCTGACCGCCGTGGCCGTGTTTGCATATTGAACTATAAGCAGTTTCCCTCAAGACAAGATTTGCTTAGAAAAGGATCTGAACATGACTTTATGAACCTTGAAAAATTGTTCACGGCTCTTGAGTATGACGTTCAAGGCTACTGGAATTTGGATAAAGATCAAACTTTACAAACCCTTTCACAGTTTGCCCAACACGAGCAATTTATATTTGCGGATTGTGCGATCATTATCATCATGAGCCATGGAGAGAAAGGACCGGTTTTTAAGACCTCTGATATGCAAGATATATCAGTTTCTACAGTTTGCAATATATTCCTGGACAAAAATTGTCCGCACCTGAAAGGAAAACCTAAGATATTCCTCTTCAATTTTTGTCGGGGAATAGATCGACATGAGTCATCAAGCTTATCAACAGACACCGTTGCTGAGCCACCCCGTGATATGTTGTGCGTTTATTCCACAACAGAATCCTTTGTCTCTTATAGAGATCTTGAAAGAGGGTGCCCGTTTGTCACTACAATGTGCGATGTTATTGCTAAATATTCCTCTACTCTGGATTTAGAAGCTTTACTCAGGAAATTTAATGAATTATATATGCCCGATGTTACACCAGAGATACAAAACTTTAGATTTCAAAAGAAGTTTTACTTTTGAATGATAATGATAACCCTTACTGTAAAATGAGACTTATGAATGCAACTTAATGGAATACAGATATTTTTTCTCACATTTGAATTCTGTTGTAAAGATTTATAATACTTATGATCCTTCCATTTTGAACATTGCTGTTATTGTTAGTATTTGTTTAAGTTCCTGCTATTTCAGCTTATTTTTTATTTTAAACAAAATCAGCTCAAATTCACTTGAATGCTGTTATATCTTAAGAGCTGGTGTACACAAGTGTGAAGGAAGTTCCCTTTGCACACATAAGGTCGACGGCCTCTTGTGGTTTCCTACAATAAGATTCATACAATGTACTAGTATCCTAGACCAAGATGTGTTCAGTAGCTCGTTGGGCTGAGTTCGTGTGCCAGTCTGATGCTGATAGCAATAAGGGCCCCACCCATTACTGGCATGTAGGAAGGTGGTAACCTATTTATTTTATTTGGCTGCCGACATAATGTATTGTATTGTTTTTACAAACATTGGTGGAAGAGGTAGAAGCATAGCATTCTGCACGAATTTGTATTTACTTCATCCACTTACTTTGGACCGTAAAATTTTCTTACTAATTCTTATTCTTAATTAGTTATCAACACTTACTGTATTGTTTACATTCGGTTGTTTTTGTAATGCTAATTACAATGTATCTTATATTCATATAATCTCATATTTTTCTAAGTCTTACAGTGTTTTCTTTAGTATTATAGATTTACATTAAGGTCTGTTTTGCTTTGATTCAACGTGCAAGGTTAGTTCGGACTAAAACACAAGGAAACAGGTGGCCAAGTGACACTGCTTGTGTTTTTTTCAAATGGTTAATGGTTAATGATTAAAAAGCAAAATAAATGTGCAGGACATAAACGGTCATATAGCACTGTAGAAAGGTGTAATAATGAAAAGGATATAGAGGGGAGTTCACTGTTGAGGGAGAATGGTGTAATGGTTAGCGGTTAGAGAACACAAACGTACTAGACATCAAAGGCACTATAGTAACGTATCGTGGCAAAATTGAGTTAACGATTAAGATAAGATATTATATGTCAAAGGGTGTAGAACGCTGTAACATAGAATGGTAGTGAAAAGGGTATAGAGGGGGAATAAATGGAATACAGTGGGGATTTGTAAAAGGAGAAGGGGTTAAGGGTGTAGGGCGATCAGATCTAATGGAGAGAACGTGTCTGAGTAAGGGAGAGTATGAGGAAACCTGCAAAAGAGCCATTAGGAAGCAATGAAAGGGTAAAAGGGTTAGAATGGTAGTTGTAGAAGTAGGAGATGAATCCTGAGAATGAGATGGGGAACAGGAGAAGGTGGTGAATTTAAGGTAGAATGTCCGGAGGGGAGGGGTTCGGGAAAGGACATTGTTGTGGTATAAAGGTGGGAGTGGTAAGGATAATGGGGAAGAAAGAGGGAATGGTGATGCACATGGAGGAGAGGATGGTGTTTTTTCTTTCGTGAAGTGGGAGGAAGCGGGGTAGGGGGAACTTGAAGAGAAAGAGATAAATACTTTGAATGTAGAATGAATATGGTCAGAGGGATTGGAGGTAGATGAGAGAGTGGAGTATTCTCTTGGGTCGTGCTTAGGAAGTTTTGGTCTTTAAGAGTTTCTGGAGGGGAGTTGGGTGGGGAGGGCTGAAAAACAAAGGTTTTCTTATGTGCAGAAGAGGGAATAGATGTCCAAGGAACAGATGGAGAGTTGGGTGTAGGAGAGGATGTGGTAGGAGATGAGGTGGAGCGTTTAGATTGTCTAGTGCGACAGTGAGAGGGAGAAGGGGGAGGGGTAGGCACAGGGGAATCCGTACGTATTAGAAGTATCTGGATTTAGATTGAATAAGGAATATGACTGGGAGAGAGAGGGAGTAGAGATAGGATGGTCTAGGGTATAGGGAAGAGATACTGGGGGAGATGCTGAAACTTTGAGAAAATGGGAGGGGAGCAGAATGAAGTACAGTTTTGGAATAGGTAGAAAGAGAAAAACCTCGTCGGTGTACTTCTTGTCCGGCCTTTCGTAGAGTGAGGCCTAGTTTGAATCTGAGAACTGCTACCTCAGATTCGAGCTTGTAGACAGGGCAGCTCCTATAAATCACACTGAGCCACCACAATTGACACATGTGCGTGAATGAGCAGAAAAATCTGAACGGTCATAATTAGGTTGGGCGCATAGAGGACAGTGGCCTGTTGAGCAACACCAACATTTCTGACATTGACTGGGACGATATGGTCGTACAGGGCAGGACACTCCACTAATGTAAACTTCATGGGGGAGGTTATGTCTATGGAAGCTAATCTTGGTGATATTGGTGTAGGACTTATGTTGGCCTCTGGGAGGAATAGTGCAGCACTGGACTGCTACTGCATCACAGTTGATGAGGCATGCAATCAAGTCGTTTTCATAATCTGCCCAGTCCTTGTCGTTTACAGGACACTCAGTCGGGGAAACGGAAACAGTTCCGGTTCAAGTATTAAGGGAGGAGAGAGATAGGGTAGATAGTCCACGAGCTTAGGAGGAGAAGGGTATTGTTAGAAGAATCGATCCCACTTAGCTGGGCCAAAAAGGGTTCTCAAAGGTGGAAGCAGTAGAAGGACGAGAGCGGGAGGAAGATGGGGTGGTATGGGGAGAGGTAGCACTGTTAGGAGGACCATAAGGATAAATAGTAGTAATAAGGGGGTGTGGGTAGACAATGAAGAAGAATGTGCAGTAGGAGATGGAGTGGAGGATGTTGGGAGAGAGGAAGGGGTGTATTCTAAAGGTTGAGTAATGACCTGGGTGGTTGGTTCGGATTGGATAGAGTTAACCACAAAAATCGATGGGGGGATATTAGTATCAGTAGTCGGAGCTGTGCTCAAAGGAGAGGCAGGGGTTTGGAAGTTGATGAAAGGGCAAGCCCCTAATAAGGGTAAAAAAAATCTTCATTATTGGCCATGATGAGCCTGAAATAAATGTGAGAAAAAACAGTCTACCCCTCAGGGTCATCATGATGGGTAAGGGTTAGGCAGTTAACCAAGGGAATACCGTGCCCATGGCTCCCAGAGGCCTTCCATGACTGACACAACATCTGCCTTTCATCATTTCAGCATGGCTCTCGCACCTTAGGAAGTGGATAGAAGGAGATGAAGATGAGAAGGAAAAGGAAAGGAGGAGAAGAAAAGAACATGCAAAATTAGCTGAGGCGAGGGCATGGTAGGGGTGATTCCCTACATTGGGTCTCAGTCTCCATCTCCTAAGCCCCCCACAACAACAATGAGCAAGTGTTTAGGGAGAGGGATGGTGTAGCAATGTACTGATACTGCATTATTAAAGTTCACGAGGAAGGGAGTAGGTCTTCACCACAATCTGACCAATCCTTGTCATAGGGAGGGCAGTTTGTCAGGGAGATGGAAACAGTCCAGTACGGAGGAAGGAATGAAGCTGGGATGGGATGAGTTTGCCAGGTGAGTCACTTAGGGTTGATATCGCTTTAGCTTGGGATTAACTGTGACAAGGCAGGAATGATCTGTGGAAGGAAACTTTGCCTGCTTGTTTTTAGAGGGATTGCTGGAAAAGAAGAATGTTGTCAGAGTAAGGGGCTGTAGAGGGATGATGAAAAATCAATCCCATTTGGCTGGGCTAAACAAAGTATTCAAAAGATTTAAAGAGGTGGAGGTAGTAGAAGGATGGCGACATGTGAAAGAGGGAGTATAGTCTAGAGGGAGGTAGTACTGTGAACAATAAGGCTGCAGAGTATTAATAAGGGAGGATGTGGTAGTAGATAATGAAAACTGTGAGGGTGGAGGAAATGAAAAAGAGGATGTCGGAAGAGGAGAAATGCTTTCTGGATGTTGAGTAACTTACCTGGTTGGATAATTTGAATTGGACTAAGGTGATAGTATGTATTGAGGATGGGGTAGCAGTCTTGAGTCATGGTCAAAGGAGAGGCTGTGGTCGGGGAATCAGGAGAATATAAATCTATAGGGCCTGTTGATAAAGGGGCCTCAGAGCCACTAATAAGGGTGTAAAATCTTCATTCCTGGCTGTGGTAAGCCTGGAGTAGACAACTAAACAGAGGAATACCAAGCCTATGGCTTCCCCAGGCTAGACAGAAACAGCCTCTCACATTTCAACATGCTTTCATACCTTACAAAGTGGATAGTAGAAGGTTGGAGAAGAGAAAGAAAGTCTTCATTTCCAAAGGGATGGGGGGGGGTGATGTTTTTCAAAATTTTTCATTAAAGGTAAAGTTTAACTGTTTTACTCTGTAAAAATAATAATACTGTTTTTCCAAATATCTGATCATAAAAGTAATATACAGGCCCAAGAGTATAATAAAACTGGTAATAGAAGTAGACCATAAAGGTGATACATTATATGAAATAAAATCTTTCCTTTGAGGTCTAGTCTTCAAGAAAACATTTTCCCCTTTACCCAGTGAGCATTGATCACTAGAAGAGTTGATTACATAAACACAAATCAAAATTAAAGATTTATTGGGAAAAAGATGGACATAATTATACAATTTCTTTTCCTCAAGATCTAGAGACCGTAACTACATTATAATTATTTACTTTGATAATATATTACAAGACTTCTGCTTAGGGAAATGCAAATCCTTACTCAGTACTCTACTAATATATACATTAAATATTGCATTTTCCAAAATCACTACGAATCATATGCATGTACTGCAATTAATACTGTGAAAATCAATACACATATTGATTAGCATTTCATACACACTTGTAGTACATAAAATACAGAGCCACAGTGAGAAAAAGATTACCAGTATTTATAAATTTTGCTTCTGGTATTGAAGTACAGAAAATACCAGAAGAGATGCAATCTTAAAAGCATGTTCAAAATACTTGCCAAATTGTTGTGTACAACCATTTAATGTAGAAAATAAATGTGCTTATTTGCTAGTTTCTCATTATGCATCATCTTGACATGCTCTTCATCTTACTTTTTATCTTCCTTTTAATGAAAACATTTCCTAAGATGGAGTGAAAATATATTTGGTATCAAGTACTTGTGAGTGTGCGTACATATCTAATTCCTTATGCTCTTGTGATAAATATTACTGCTTTATTTTATAATCTTATGCACACTTATTGAAGTCATAACTGTATTATAATATATGTAAATATATAATAAAATAAGTATGTTTAATAATAGTTTCAAAATGTATGTCACCATTTATGCTTCCCCAAATGGATTCAAGTTGGATTCATAATCTTTACTCGAATCATCAGCAAAAGGATTCTTTACATCGGGACTCTTATGGGATGGGGAATCAGAGGCGAAAGGATTTTTAGACTCATCGTAGTCATCTTCAAATGGGTTGTTTCCCATCTGTTCTGTCTCAAAGTCGTCTCCAAATGGATTATTGGTATCTGCATCTGACTCTTCGAATGGATTATCTAATGCCTTCTGAGAGCTACGAGAAATATGTGTGCTACCGAGTGCTGTGGATATGCTCTCCACTGGTGAAGGTCTCTTGGGGCTTTTATCCCTGGAAGCTGTTGGGGGTGATGGCGTGATGTGGTCATGGAGGGAAGAACCATACTTGTTGCCAGCTCCTTTCATGGCTCCACCCATCCTTGCAGAGTCATTTGACCTGAGGCGACTCTCAGCCACTGGGACAGTTACACTTGATGTTATCTGTGATCTCATCCTAGCTTCCGTTGGACTCGTTATGACAGCGCTGGACTTGTCTTGTCTTACTCTCCCTTCAGGCATGGCTTGTGAAGATGGCTCACTGGAAGTTTGGGCCATTCTCCCTTCAGCCCTCAGTCTACTTTCAGACTCAATTTCAATAATACCCTGTCCTCGACGTTCTCCCATCCGCAGGCGACCTTCACTCCCAACTCCTAGAAAAGGGGGGGGGGGGAGAGCAAAGTAGAAATCTGACTTTCACTGCAGCATTAATTCAAATTAAATTTGGAGTAACTAAAAATGTAAAACAGGATTAATATGCAACACAGCTGTGTTGTATTGCTAGTGTTAACACTTGAATGCCTTACACTTCAAAGAATAGTAACACAAGAACACTCACCTGTGGGACCCTGGGTAACTTTCTCCAGCACTCGCAATCTGGACTCTGGCTCTGGGACTGGAAGTAAAATGAATGTGAAACTCATTGCTTTTTGAAAACATACAAAACTCTGCCCAGCCCAACCACTAAATTGTCACACACTGACTAAAACTACATCCATCAAACATAATAACGTTTTTTTTTATGTTTTTTTTTTTAATATATTCTTCATTTAAGACACATGAAAGTAAAGATGGACAACCCTAAATACTGGCAAATTTTATGTTCAAAAAGTTAAGCTTGAGAATGTTTAGTGAAATAAATCATAGCAACAACTAGTATAATAATAATACATACAAAAAGACAGAAAAGACAGCCAAATAAACCCATTCAATATACAAGGCTTATTTTGAATGACAAAATATAACAAGATTTTAAATTTCACACCTCTTTAATAATTTGTAAAAACAATGTCTTGCACTCCTGTATTACAACTTTTTTCATGCAATTTTAACATAGGTAAAGTGAATGCAGTTTGACAATAAATTCAGCACAAAATTCAAGCTCTTTTACAATGCTCAAGCACATCAGCCAAATTGAGTCAGAATCTTTCTGAATGTTCCCCAATGATTTATAATGGTTCATAGGAAGGTTTTCTCCTCATAACAAAATTGAATAACTCACCTACTCCACCAGTATTTTGCTTGGGAAACTCCGCTGCTCTAACTCTAGCTTCTGAACCTGTGTCTGTTGCGTCCTCTACAAAAGCGGATGCCTTTGGAGGTGCAACTTTACTCTGCATGCCTATAAGATTATACCATGCATAGCCTTAACATAAATTATAAGATTTAAAAAGAAAATGAAATCAAGATATAAACAAGAAAGAATAAAACATGCAAATCATATTTGCACAAAAGCTTTACTCAAGCACTACATAATAAATATGCTCACAGGAGTGGATACAGAAATATAACATCTTTTGAAGAAAATTACTCTTTAATCAAGAAATTGTCCATTATTCATAATCTCCCTACAAAAAGCTACAGCTGTGAGGGTTCCTCAACAAACAAATGAAATGGGAAATATGACCATGCAGCATACTTCAGACAAAATACATAATACAAAATTGTTACTTTTTGTGGTGTTGAGTGAGGGATACATGGTAGCCAGGGTGTGGAGATGAGTGAACACCCCTCGACCCAGGTAATCAGCGACCACGGAAAAGGAATCAGTACATCTTTCCAGTTGTTCATGAAACTGGTCATGTTGGCTGCGGTGGGTTTCCTGCATAAATGATCAATGAGTCATAGTGTAATTTAAAACTATCATACAAATTAATTTACAGATGGAGATAATAATAGTAATAATGGTAATAATAGTAAGAACATCAATAATAACAATAATGATAATACAAATGATGATGATGATGATGATGTTTCATCTTAAACTTTCTTATAAGAAATTAAATCTGATTCAAAACATGTTCTTCCAAATCACTTGACACATACAATAATGGAAATAAAAAATGAGACTGCAAATATTTCATGAATGTAAACCCCAGAACCATGGGACTCCTCCACCTGCCCCTTACCAAACACAAAAAAATTAAGGGTTACATGGTTTATTAATTCAATAAAATTTCTTCTGGTGTACCACTTTATCACAGTAAGTTGCTCAGGACTATTCTTAGCCAACAGAGGACTACACAATGAGAGTAATTTAGAACAGAATGCTGACAAACCTAACAATCTTTTGATGGCTATATGTAATTAGCCACTTGGATATGGATGATGTGACCATCACATCCTGAAAAAAAATTAGGCTGAGGGTCAGGTGACATGAATGTGCCGTCAGGGAAAAATCTGAGTGAGGGTCGGAGTGAGAGGAATAGGTTGTCATGGAAAATTTGAATGAAGGCCAATGACTTGCCATGAGTGTCCAAAGCTCTTGGAAGTGATTAGACTCAATGGACATTTAGGTAAGTGCCCTAGAATTATTTCCATAGGTATATAAGTGTAGAATATATCATCCCTAAGTCATGACTGGAAGAGTGCCTGCTCCATGTAGGATACTATTTCCATGCTCAGAGTCTTACTCCTGCATTCAGTGACTGGAGGTACAGCGTGTATTACAGAAATTGTGGGCCTGGCCTACAAGCCGCACACCTTGGAGTCACCATTCAAATAATCTTAATGCCTAAATTTCAGACAACATGTGGGCAGGAAGGTACCTATACCAAATAGGTTAATAAAAAATAAGTATGTGAAGCATTAATATGATATCTAGCAATTCTCTCTTACCTGAGCCTTGATGACTTCTAACATCTTCCTGTTTTCAGGCAGACAGACTGGACAGTCGACATCACTCTCACTATAACTTTCAAAGCAACTGTGAAAGCAAGAACATACAACTTGGCATGAAAAGGTGTTTAGTAATTAAAATGAAGGCTGTAAATAAAGACAGGCAAATAGTATGCTGACTATGAATGGAGTAAGCAAGTGAGGTCAAGTAGACATACAGCATTTTAAGCAGGGGTTTGGTTGGTCGATAATTTTTTTCCCAAGGCCAAGAACTGCAATGTTTGCTGCTAGCAAAGTGGTTTAACACAGGTAGCTCCACTCAGTCTTGACGAAAATCCTTGTTTTTCTTGGTTTCGTTTTTCTTTAATTTTGTACCACTGATGTTAATAAAACATTTTCAAAGAAAATGCACTTCAAATATACTTACCTGGTCAAATAAAGGAGCAGAACTAATGACATCATCATATCTTGTAAATGACAGTGCACTATGAGCTATCAGATATAGCTAGATAATAATTATTCCTTACTAAATTACACCTATATACATCCGGTCATTCCTTAAAAATGCCCAAAGAATAGCTAATTTTTCTAAATATTTGTTAGCTTCACTTACTTACCCCTCTCAGGAAAAAACTGAAATGATGCCCCAGTATTGAAAAAATATAAGATCCAACAGTTTACCAATAAAGCTATGATCAGTGCAACATTTGTGGTCAACTGAACTGATGGGTATGACATTATGATACTGAAAAAGTAACACAGTAGTTTCTTCTGATATGGAAATAACAAAAGATACTATTTGGATCAATCTGTGCAATGAAATAGAATGGCTCAATCTGACATTAATAAGCATGCCTGCAGTGATACAAGCAATGTTGAAGCAAAGGTCAACAAACATGTTCTGAGTGTATTCTGACAAGATAATGCTTGTTGATCTCTCCCATAGGAATTATTGTGTCAAAGATTTGGTCAAAGCTCTATACTTCATTTTGTAAGAGTATACCAATGTTAAACCTTGGAATAGACAAAGAGAGGTTAATGGCACTGTGCCAGAACACCAAGCATAGCATCACCAGCGATCACTATAGACAATTATTATTTTTGTTCTGGATTATTATTTTTCTACATCATTATTTTACAAATTCATACTTTTCCACTTGAAATATTCTCTTAAAATGTCTATAGTAAATGAATCTTGGTGATTCAATGTTGAAGCTATGCAAAAACACACACACACACACACACACACACACACACACACACACACACACACACACACACACACACACACACACACACACACACACACACACACACACACACACACACACACATATATTAGACAGTGTATACATATATTTCAGTTAAGGTGATTTCTTTCACTACCATAAATTTAACAAACTATTACTTACTGCTGATGGAAGGAATGTCTGCAGAGAAAGTGGACAGATGGCAGCTCTAATTCATTGTTGCAAATGTTGCATTTAGTAGCTGTAAACTGTGTTGCACTGTCAAAATAAAATTGCAAGATATTAACATAACTACTTAAGTCTACAGAACACAAATAGAAAAAAGTAAGCCTAT